TGATTTTTTTAAAAATGTACTAACTACATGATTTTCAACTAACGAATATTTTGAGTCCAGTATGCATACTTATGAATTTTGAATAAATCTATTCAATGTCAATATATTAATATTGTAACACTACCCAAAGTATGTCATGCGATGTTATTATATACTAGAGGCCCGGTGCATGAAAATTTGTGCCCTTGGGAGGGTCCCCCAGCCCAGCCTATGCCCTCTTGCAATCTGGGACCACTTGGAGGATGTCAACCTGCTGGCTTAGGCCCGCTCCCTGGGGTACTGGGCCCAAGCCGGCAGTCGGACATCCCTCTCGCAGCCCAGCAGCCCTCGGGGGATGTCCATTTACCAACAGGGAGCATACCTAAGCTGCAGTTGGACATCCTTATTGCTGCTGAAGAGGCGGAAGAGGCTCCTACCACCACTGCTGTGCTAGCAGCATTCAGCGTGGCTTGTGGCTGAGCAGAGCTCCCCCTGGGGTACTGGGCCCAAGCCGGCAGTCGGACATCCCTCTCGCAGCCCAGCAGCCCTCGGGGGATGTCCATTTACCAACAGGGAGCATACCTAAGCTGCAGTTGGACATCCTTATTGCTGCTGAAGAGGCGGAAGAGGCTCCTACCACCACTGCTGTGCTAGCAGCATTCAGCGTGGCTTGTGGCTGAGCAGAGCTCCCCCTATGGGAGCGCGCACCGTTTTCAGGGGGCCAAGCACCCCGGCGACGGAAGCTCCCAGCCTCTCCTTTTTTCTTTTTTTTTTTTTAATTCTGGGATTTATTTACCTTCTATAATTGAAACTTTGTGGCCTTAGGTGGAGCTCAGAGCTGGCCGCAGCAGGCGGGAAGCTTGGCTTCTTCCATCACTGAAGCAACCAAGCCTCCTGCTTGCTCCAGCTCCATGGCTGCTGGCTGCCATCTTGGTTGGGTTAATTTGCATATAGTCGCTCTGATTGGCTGGTGGGCGTGGCTTAATGCATAGGGAAGGTACGGTCAATTTGCATGTTTGTCTTTTATTAGTGTAGATTATTCAAATAAAAGAATTCTGTGGTTCAGATTTTAAAACACTATGTTTCTTTCCCATAGGACAACTCAGAGCCTTTAAAAGACTAATAATAGGAATTCAGAGACCTCAAAAGAGGAAACTTCATGCAGTATTTCCCTGCTTTTGTAACCATAAATGGATTAACATTTTATGAAATACAGTTTCATAAATTCTGTACTGGGGTTGATGATAAATCTATAATATAAACAGGAAAACAATGAGATGGCTTCCTATGAGTCAAGCCTTATTATAACAAATACCCATACAATGAACACTAGAGCATTTTAAAACATTGATAATTTCGAAACAGAGATAAGCTTCAAAGATTGTTTGATGTAAGAAAATCATTTAAAATAAAAAAATTAAAGTATTTCTTAATTTGGCCCTGATATACTATGATTTATTTCTACTTTAGCATGATGGAGGAGTGAGTGCAGGAAGAATAAGTAAAAAAGGAGTGGGGGGAAGAAGAAAATCATTTACAAAATTGATTTCTTAGCTACATCAAGAAATTTCAACTGAATTGGACTCCTACATGATATGAAATGTTTTTCAGAAGGTTTAATTACAGTATTCTAAATGATTAGAGATCATAAATGACAGAATATGTAGAATTGGACAAGACTAAAAATATAGACAGCCTTTGCAAAAAATTCTCTTGAGAAAACTATTGTAAGAAAATATACAGATGGTGTAGCCTGGGTTACTACAGAGGCAATGATAAAATAAACAGGAGCAAAAGTGAATTAAGTTACCTGCTCCCTTGAGTAAAGAGTTATTCTACTCCAACTCCCAGCACGTCTCAATTGTTCAAATTAAATATATGCTTACTCACTAACTCACACAGTGAAGCCTGTCATGCTGGCATGTAAATGTCCATATTCACAGTGAAAACCAGGTAAACACTTCAGTATCATCAAATTATAATGACTGCACATTTTCATAACCGATGATACATCTCTGTGAGGGCAATCATCACCTCTTGAGTGAGACCTGTGCATTATGGCTACTCAGCATGGGGATGCTGGTGACAGGAGCATCAGTGGACCAGCACTGACTAAGCATGCACAGGCTGTGTAGGCCATGGACTGAGTACTTGAAAGCTCATGATAAAGATCGGCATCCCCATCTTCTGGGAGTATCATCAGCAAAAAGCATTTATTATCATACAGAAGTAGGAATTTGTGCCCCAAGTCAGGGACCAGACACTAACTGGCTATTAATTCAGTGTGGTGGAAGAATATGGAATAATCTTTCCTAACACACATAGAAGTATACCAAATAAAAAGAGGGGATATAAAGAACCTAAAATAAATATTAGAAACAAAAATTGTATATAGTAAAATGTCAGCACTACAAAATGAAAAAAGAAAGTGGAATGGCTTTTGCTGAAAAATCTTTTACTATATCTGAGAAAAACATTTACAGTCCTCTAGCTACTAAAATTTTGACTCTAACTCATGGCAACACAATATAAATATGAAAATGATGCTGCAGAATCTTAATAAAAAATTATACTTGTTAGGTAGAAAAGGTTTCTAAAGATGTATCAATCTTTCTCTTGACCAAGGGTGCACATTTATGGCATGACTAGCTGCAGTTGAGATACAATATGAGCTGAACAGAACAGATCAAAGCTAACTGGACTCTGTGGAAAATGAACTCATGATCTAGACTTCATCAGTCATGATCTAACCAACTGAGCTAATGAGCCATATAAAATACATGTTGGCATGAGATATTTACTTTGAATCATTTCTGTGCTTAAATGGGTCATATAATTTTAGTCAACTTTAGAGATGCTGTTTTCCCAAGGTTTTGTGAATAAATTGACTCACTGGTCACACACATTTACCTATTATGTAGAAAGTCAGTGGTGATGTATTTTAAAAATACACAAGGCAATATGCAGAATTTAGAGTCTATATAGGAGAGAAAAATGTAATAGAAAATAACTATAGTGCAAAATTTAACAGCAATAATTGATGTTTATTGAATATTCACTATTTCTCAGATATTACACAAAGCACTTCTGATAAGCTAACTATATCCATCTCATAGAGAAAAAAAGAAGCAGGTTGTGTAACTTTCACAAAGTCACACTCTAGTAATCTCTCACTCTGCATTGGACTAATGATAAATGACTGTGATAGATACTGCAGAGCTAACTCTCCCAACACTCATTCCAACTACCCTTTTCCCTTGCCATCTTCTCGCATATGGACACAAAAGCTACAACTCTTATTTCCAGATTGCTGGCTGCTAACGATTATGAGATGACACAGTTATGGCCAATGAAATGAAAGCAAAAGGGAGCTAGGAGTTTTTAGAAAAGCTTCTTTCTCTCCTCACAACCCCTTTCTCCCTCTTCCTCGCCCTATCTTTCCATATATATACTGTGATATATGATATTATGTGATATATATTATATGTAATATATACATACTCTAGACCAGTGGTTCTCAACCTTGGCTGCACATTGGAATCACCTGGGAATCCTTTTAAAATCCTGATTTCTGGGCCTCATCCTCCGGAAATTCTGTTTCTTTGTTATGGGGTGGGGCCAGAACATTAGTAACAAAGAAACAGAATTTCTGGAGGATGAGGCCCAGAAATCAGGATTTTAAAAAGATTCCCAGGTGATTCTAATGTGCAGCCAAGGTTGAGAACCACTGCTCTAGACAGAAGAGAAAAGGTGAAAAAAGATGTTTTCTTTTTATAAAGCAAACATTATCTTCATTTAATAAACTCTGATATTTAAAATAGAAGTCAAACATCTACATTAATAAGAATCCTCAGTTGTGAGGAGTGCTTCAGATGCTGATTTTTCTAAGGACCAGACAGGAGGGCTTGTATGTATAATAACAGCATAAGATCTCAGAGAGCGTGTAAACACAGAAGGGAGGCAGTTGGGTCCTGAGCAAATGACACTACACAGTGCACTTGTCTCATGGCCGAAGACAATGCTTTTTTATTTCAGATGAATATCAGATAGTTTACTTATACAAAATAGTAATTTTAAAAAACTTACTCCTAGTAGTTCAGTGTTGTAGAAATTAGATATTCATATTTCAAATATATGTTTTCCTCATAAAAAAAGAGCAAACAAAATATTCCTGGAAACATTCAACATTCCCCTTTGAACTATGCAAGAGACAACTGAAGTCCTACATTAATTAAGAATTTCCATATATATTTCATTATATTTGGATTTTGTGTACCATATTTATACACACAGTCCAATTATACATATACTGTATGTATGTGTGTGACTGGCTGACTGGGCAGTAGCTATGATGTACACCGACTACCAGGAGACAGATGCTCAACACAGGAGCGGAAACCACAGGCATGGAAACATGGAATAGACTGATTAATCTCAGAGGGAAATGGGGGGTGGGAAGAGATTAACCAAAGATCTTATATGCATACTAGAGGCCCAGTGCATGGATTTGTGCACCGGTGGGGTCCCTCAGCCTGGCCTACACCCTCTTGCAATCCAGAACCCCTCGGGATGTTGGATAGCCAGTTTCAGCCTGACCCCTGCAGGCCCGATCCAGACACGAGGGAGCCTGATCCCCACAGGCCCGATCCCCACACGCTGGACCCGGACAGGCGGGACCCTGATCCCTACAGGCCCAATCCAGATAGGAGGGAGCCTGATCCTGTGCATTGAGAGTCTGTCCCCTGGTGGTCAGTGCATGTCATAGCGACTGGTCGACGGGTCATTCAGTCACTTAGGCTTTTATATATATAGAGAGAGAGAGAATATAAAATCCCGTTCTACACTGTCCAAATCCCTAACACTATGTGGTGCAAATATAAAATAAGCTTTATTGGAGAAAATCTTACAGGCTGACATATAGCAGAGGGAGCACAGCTGGACTGGATACACCATGGTAATTGCTCTGTAGAAGATCTCTGGCCTCAAATGGGAGAATTAAAAAGACTCCCACATGAACTTACATTGCTCCATTGGTATAAACAGTATCGCTTCCTTCCACATACTGGACCTGAGCTGGGTAGACATGCTGTACCTGTTGCACAGTCTGTACCTGCTGTACCTGAAAAACAAATATTAGGACCTTGGTGAGTGATAGATATGAGAAAATGCACTACATTAGATTTATCTCAAATATTTTTCTATGTTGGTGATCAATGTGAGAATGGCTTAAGATGTGATCTGTAACATCCTTCAAAGACATGTGAATGTTGAATGGGCCCAGATCAACTGCAGCAATAAGGCTGAAAAAATTCTATAACACACCTATAAGTATATAGGTATATACACACTTCAAATATTTAGGGTGAAAATTCTGAAAGCTTCTCACTATTTTGAAAATTTAGGACTTCTCTTCCCCTGGGTTGTTAAAGCTAAATTTATTTTTTAATTAAAAAACTCATGATGGAAAATTTCAAACACTTAAATATAGAATAAATATTACAACAAAACTCATTTATTCATCATTTTATATAAATGTTTGTCACAGGACCTCATCTTTCAACCTCTCAGAGGATTATTTAAAAGCAATTGCAGAGACTACATCATTTCACTGGTAAATATTTCATTTTGTTTATAAGAGATAAGACCTATTTTTAACATGAACACAATATTGATATCACCTATAAATATTAGCCATTTCTTAAAACCATCTAAAATCCAATCATAGTTCAAATTTCTATGATTATTCCAATGTCTTCTTATTGTTGCTTTGTTCAAATAAGGACCCAAACAAGGTCTACATATTACATTTGTATCTTTCCCATCTTTCTCTTTTAATATATAATAATAATCTATGATAATGAATATGTAATATGCTAATTAGACCAGGTGTCCTTCCAGACGACCTTCTGGATAAATCTGGGGCTGCGAGGGAAGCCTGGGTCCCGGGTGCCTGCCGGTGGCCAGAGGGAAGCCTGGGTCCTGGGTGCCTGCCGGCAGTTGGAAGGAGGCCTGGGTGGGGTGCTAGAGGGAAGCCAGTGCTGGCAGCTGGGAGAAGAAAGGCTTACTCTTGCACAAATTTCGTGCATCGGGCCTCTAGTCTCTAATATTTTCCCATCCTTCTTATTTTTTGACTAGAGGCCCGGTGCATGAAATTTGTGCATGGAGGGGGGGTTCCCTCAGCCCAGCCTGCACCCAATCCAATCGGGGACCCTTCGGGGAGTGTCTGACCGCCAGTTTAGGCGCAATCTCTAAGGACTCACCTGCCTGCCTGCCTGATCACCCCTTACCTCTCTGCCTGCCTGCCTGATCGCCCCTAACTGCCTCTGCCTGCCTGCCTGCCTGATTGCCCCTAACTGCCCTCCCCTGCTGTCCTGATACTGCCCCCAACTGCCCTTCCCTGACAGCCGAGTTGCCAACTGCCCTCCCCTGCTGGCTTAATCTTTCCCCCAACGGCCCTCCCCTGCTGGCCTGATCTCACCTGTAACTGCTCTACCCTGCTGGCCTGATCTCACCTGTAACTGCTCTACCCTGCTGGCCTGATCACCCCTAACTGCCCTCCCCTACCAGTCTGATCTCACTCCCAACTGCCCTCCCCTGCAGGCCTAATCTCAACCCCAACTTGCAGGCCTAATCTCACCCCCAACTGCCCTCCTTTGCTGGCCAATTTGGTTCTGATTGGTCAGTTTCTATGCCAGTCAGCATCTCTGGGCCTATCAACAGGGCCTGATCAGAAAGGCGGGCTGATCAGCAGCCCTGGTGGAGGCCTGGAGAGAAATGGAGGCGCAGCTGTTGGCCAGGCTGGGAGAGAAAGGGAGGCAAGTTCTGATTAACGGCTGCCACAGAGGCTACGGATCAGACACTGCCTCTCTCTGGGCCTGATCCGCAGACCCCTAGGCCCATGGTTGGCAAACTGTGGCTCGAGAGCCACATGCGGCTCTTTGGCCCCTTGATTGTGGCTCTTCCTAAGCCTTAGGAGTACCCTAATTAAGTTAACGTGTACCTACCTATATAGTTTAAGTTTAAAGAATTTGGCCCTCAAAAGAAATTTCAATCGTTGTACTGTTGATATTTGGATCTGTTGACTAATGAGTTTGCCAACCACTGCCCTAGGCAGTCAGTGCTGGGTCAGACACCAGCAGCGGCTGCAGTCAGTACTGGGTCACCTCGGCAACCCAGCACTGATTTCCGATTTGGTCAAGCCTTCGGTCGTAATAGTCGTTAAGACCCTGGCTCTTTATTATATAGACTAGTAGCCCAATGCATAAAATTTGTGCAAAGGGGTGGAGGGGCAAGGAGTGGGGCCAGACCCCTCAGCCCGACCTGCACCCTCTGTCATGTTCCGGGACTCCAGCCACTCCGGGCCTAGGCACAGGCCTACAGGCTTAGGGCGGCCTGGCTCCCAAGGTCCCATTTTATCAGGAGAACAAAGTCGGAGTTAGTTACAGCCCTCACTGAACCCAGTACAGTGCATCTGTGCATACACCTGCCTCATTCATGTGCCTGCTTCGCCCTACTGAATTACTAACATCTTGAGGACGTAACTCTGTCTTATCCTGCTTCGGGTTCAGTGTCTGGCCTGGTGCCAGGGAGAGGGTTTGCTGAGGTAGTGAATAATGAGTAAGTGAATGAGTGAATGAATGAACGAGTAAGTGAATGAGCAAGCAGCTACAGGGCGGGAACTTCTGCCGCGTTGCTATGGCGACATGGCAGAAGTTCCTGGCTGCCTGATGTCCACCCTGGGAAGTTCCCAGTGCCCCTCTCCTGGCTGCATAGTTCCCGCCCTGCTCCCAGCAGTGGCCTGGCGCCCCTCTCCTGGCTGCTTAGTTCCCGCCCTGTTCCCAGCGATCCAGGTCCCCAACCACTCCTTCAGTAGAGGCCAGGGCAGCCGGGAAGCTTGGCTTCCTCCATTGCGGGGGCAACCAAGCCTCCTGCTTGCTCCAGCTCCATGACTGCCAGCCACCATCTTGGTTGGGTTAATTTGCATATAGTTGCTCTGATTGGCTGGAGGGCGTGGCTTGGGGCATAGCAAAGGTATGGTCAATTTGCATGTTTGTCTTTTTTTTTCTTTTTTTAAAATATATTTTATTGATTTTTTACAGAAAGGAAAGGAGAGAGATAGAGAGTTAGAAACATCGATGAGAGAGAAACATCGATCAGCTGCCTCCTGCATATCCCCCACTGGGGATGTGCACGCAACCCAGGTACATGCCCTTGACTGGAATCGAACCTGGGACCTTTCATTCCACAGGCTGACGCTCTATCCACTGAGCAAAACCGGTTTCAACGAGCATGTTTGTCTTTTATTAGATAGGATTGTTACTTGTTGAAGAGACTGGATTATTTATCCTGCAGAATTTCTGGAATTCTAGATTTGGCTGATAGCATCGCTGAGATGAACTTCAATAAGTTCCTGTGTCCCCTGCATGTAATATAATCTGGTAGATCATGGGCCTTGAACAGGTTCAAAATTTGAAAAGCTGTGTACTTCCCATGGCATCGTATCAGCTGCCATGTAAAAACCAGTTGTCTCTCTTTTTGTAATCCTCTATAAAAAAAGTCTAATATGCAAATAGAGCGACCAGTGGAATAACCAGTCACTATAACACACACTGACCACTAGGGGGACAGACACTCAATGCAGGAGCTGTCCCCTGGTAGTCAGTATGCTCTCAGGGGGAACGCTGCTCAGCCAGAACCCAGGCTCACGGCTGGCGGTGAGGAGTGAGGGGTCCCAGCCTGCAAGAGGGTGCAGGCTGGGCTGAGGGACCCCACCCCCAGTGCACGAAAGTCGTGCACCGGGCCTCTAGTGGGATCAGGTGTTGTCAGCTGAATGCATGTATTATGATATTCCCTATCTATGTTTTACCTGAGGATATTAGTATCCAATGATGATCATTTTCTAATCATAGTAATTTAATTAATAATGGTTGCAAGCTTAATTAGTCTAATTCTGCAATACATTTTCACTTATTAGTAGACTTCTATAATGAAATTCTTCTCAACAATAATTTCATTACTTTGAAATAGGGTTGTATGGGAAGAATAAAGTAAATACATGATTCTCTTCTTGAGCCAGTACAAAGAGTGATGACTTTATCCCCTAGCTCCCTCCAGTGCAGTTTTGCAATGGATTTTTTAAGTTTGCTTTGTATTCTTATGATTCTTGGCTTTTGAACATATTTGATGCTTTTTAATCATAGAAGTTTTTCTTCTAAAACTGTTCTATCTTTGACAAATGGCAGTCCCTGCAAATTTAATCCTGTTTCTTCTGACATGACCGCAGTAATCTTTAATTCTCCTGCTTTCTGCCATAAGATGGTTCCAGATTTATCTCTTACATTTCCTGTCCTAGATATTGAATTAACCATTTCTTCAAAGAGCCTGGCTCCTACTAGCAAGGAGAAATATAAGTATAAAAACTGTTTAGGAAAGTAATTTATAAATAGGCAGCTTGTTTGACCACTCTGTGATTTTTTCTACAGAAATACCTAACATCTAAGGAGGTGCTGTTCAATATTATTAAAGAATACAGTCTATAAGAGCAAAAAATTAAAAGAAGAAACCTTAATGACTATTAAAAGTGGAGTAATTAAATAAATTATAGGAAAACTATTCTATAGAATAGATGGCTGATGTTAAAAGAATAAAGAAAGACTGATATGTACTTTAACAGCAAGATCCAAGTAGAATCTCTAGGGCTGAAAAACACAATATCTGAAATGAAAAATTTACTGAATGGGGTTAAAAGCAGATTATATAATGCAGAAAAAATTACCAGTCAATTTAAATATCTGCCATAAATAATGAACACATACCAAAAAATGAGGAATAGAGCATTAGTGAACTATGAGACAATATCAAATAGTCAAACATGCAAGCGAAGTCCCAGAGGAGACGAGAAAGAACAGAAAACATTAAAAGAAGAGAACTAGAGCCCTAACTGGTTTGGCTCAGTGGACAGAGCGTCAGCCTGCAGACTCAAGGGTCCCAGGTTCGATTCCGGTCAAGGGCATGTACCTTGGTTGCGGGTACATCCTCAGTAGGGAGTGTGCAGGAGGCAGCTGAATTCATGTTTCTCTCTCATCAGTGTTTCTAACTCTCTATCCCTCTCCCTTGCTC